AAGAGGAGACAAACATGGAAAGATGAAGCCAAACTATCCCGTTTTGCAGATGATGTCAGACATTATACCTTAATAATCCAAAAATTCTATCAGGAAACTTCTAGAAACTCATTTTTTTAATTTAGCAATGTGGCAGGATACAGAATCAACTTGTACAAATAAATAGATTTTCTAAACATCAACATGAACTTACAGAGAAGTTCATGGACACACCTACATTCACAATATCCTCTGAGAAAATAAAATATCTAGGAATAAACCTAACAAAGAAAGGGAAGGACCTCTGCAATGCAAAACTTCAACTTCTGAAGAGATAAAGACACTAGACAATGGAAAGCCATCTCATGCTCATAAGTTGATAGAATTAATATTGCTAATATGGCCATATTACCAGAAGCTACTTACATGTTTGATGCAATCCCAATCGAAATCCACATCTTATACTTCAGACACTTAATATTTGACAGATGCCAAAAATAAAAGCTGTAGAAAGTGTCTTCAACAAAGGTGCTGGGAAAACTGGACATCCATATGTAGAAGAATAAAAAGAACTGTATCTATCACCTTGCACGAAAACTACCACCTTGCATCAAAATAGATCAAAGACATAAACATGAAGCCTGAAACTGTTAGACGAAAACATGGACAATTACACTATGTAGGTGTAGGAAAGGACTTTCCAGAGAGGACTTTATTTACCCAAGAATTAAGACCAACAATTGACAAGTGGGACTTCATGAAACTATAGAGCTTCTGCACAGCTAAGAGGAAGCATACAGAATGGCAGAGTCTCTTTGTTGGCTACACATTTGATAGGATTAATATCCGAAATATATAAAGACCTCAACACATAGAATCAAAACAAAATAAAAGAAAAAAAACTCAAAATGGGCCTGAGACACAAACTAAGAAATATCTCAAGAAATGTTCATCATTTCTAGCAATTATGGAAATGTAAATCAAAACAACTTTAAGATTTCATTTTATTGGATCAAAGAATTCAACATAAAACCAACCACACTGAACCTCATAGAAGAGAAAGTGGGAAGAACACTTGAACACACTGGCACAGGAGACCGCTTCCTAAATATAACCCAGTAGCACAGACACTGAGAGCAACAATTAATAAAAGGGACCTCCTGAAACTGAGATGCTTCTGTAAAGCAAAGGATGCAGTCAACAAGACAAATGACAGCCTACAGAATGGGAAAAGATCGTCACCAACCCCACATCAGACAGAGGTCTGATCTCCAAAATATACAAAGAACTCAAGAAATTGGTCATCAAAAGAACAAATAATACAATAAAGAAAATGGGGTACAGACCTAAATAGAGACTTCTCAACAGATGAATCTAAAATGTCTGAAAGACACTTAAGGAAATGCTCAACATCCTTAGCCATCAGAGAAATGTAAATCAAAACAATTCTGAGATTCCATCTTAAACCTGTCAGAAGCTGGGCAGTGGTGTCGCACGCCTTTAATCCCAGCACTCTGGAAGCAGAGAGGCAGGTGGATCTCTGAGTTTGAGGCCAGCCTGGTCTACAAGAGCTAGTTCCAGGACAGGCACCAAAGCTACAGAGAAACCCTGTCTTGAAAACAAACAAAAAAACCTACCTGTCAGAATGGCCAAAATCAAAAACACTGATGACAACTTATGCTGGAGAGGATGTGAGGTAAAGGGAACACTCCTCCATTGCTGATGGCAGTGCAAACTGGTACAGCCACTTTTGAAATCAGTATGGAATTTCTCAGAAAATTAGGAAACAGCCTACCTCAAGACCCAGTAATACCACTTTTGGGAATATACCCAAAGGATGCTCAATTATACCACAAGGACATGTGTCCAACTATGTTCATAGCAGCATTATTTGCCATAGCCAGAACATGGAAATGACCTAAATGTCTCTCAACCAAATAATAGATAAGGAAAATTTGGTACATTTACACAATGGAGCACTACACAGCAGAAAAAAAAATGACATTTTGAAATTTGCAGGCAAATGGATGGATCTAGAAAATATCCTATTGAGTGAGGTAACCTAAACACAGAAAGACAAATATAATATATACTCACTCATAAATGGCTTTAAAGATAAAATAAAGAAAAATCAGCCTACAAATCACAATCCCAGAGAACCTAGACAACAAAGAGAAGAGAGACATACACGGGTCTAATCTACATGAGAAGTATAAAAAGACAAGCTCTCCTAAGTAAACTGGGAGCATGGGAACCATGGGAGAGGATAGAAAGGGAAGAGGAGGAAGGAAGGGGAGAGGAAGGGAGGAGAGCAGAGAAGAATATATAGCTCAATAAAAACAATTTAATAAAAAGATTCCATTTTTATCCCAGCCAGAATGGCAAGGCTCCACAAAACTGGTAACAATCCTAGAAAAGATTCAGGGAAAAGGGAATACTCATTCACTGTTGGTGGATCGCAAAAAGTGATCTCCAAAAGCTACAATTAAATCTATCACATAAGCCGGCTATACCACTCCTTCGCAAATAACCAAAGGACTTGACATCCTACTTCACAGACACTAGCCCAGTCATACACTCTATTTACAATAGCTAAGAAATGGAAATACCTTAAATGGCCTTAACTGACAAAGGGATAATAGATACACTAGGAAACACTGCTCACCTGTAAGTTAAAGTGAAATTATGAACTTTGTGGGATAGAACTCACAAAGATCATATTGAGTGAGATAATGATATCCCAGACCCAGAAAGACAAATGTCACAAGTTCTCTATTATTGGAAGCTCCTAGCTCCAAATCTTCAGATGTGAGTACATGTCATGGAGTAGCTACAAAAAAAATCAGGAAAGCAAAAAGATACTCCTGCCAGGATGAGGGGTGGAGGATGAAATAGAGAGGGAAGTAGCAATGTACACATGATCTGATGGAGGAAATGGGAAAATGGGGGGGGGCTCTAGTTATGGGGGAGACAGAGGAAGGAGAGGAGAGTAAAATGTAACACTAAGAATGCCTGAACAAGTCATAAACAATCATACTATTCATGATCCACTTACGTCTATAGTTTAAATGAAATTTTCTCATCTCAACTAGCAGTGCTTTCTCGAGAGTCAAAGAGCATCTAGGAAAACCCCTACGCCAGGCATGCGAAGCCCTCTTTTGATCTGTTGGTCAGGGCTGTTCGACAGACTCCCGAAATGTTACAGGCTATTGCTGTCGCCCTTTATTTCAACCACATTCAACCGTAAGATGGTTCTATCCCTCCACTTTCTTTCTGCCCTCGGCCACCAGAGTGCACAGCACTTCATTCTCCAGTGATTTCCTTTTGTGGAAGTAAGGTAAGCAGGAGAAAGGGGCTGGGGTAACTCCATCGTGAAACCTTGTCTGCCAACCACAACGCTCTGGAATTCATCCTCAGCACTCTGAAGAAGGAATCAAGGCAAGAAAGGAAGAACAGGAGTCATTAATCACATTCTGGGACTGAGGAGAAGACTCACCTGGTAAAGCATTTGCCGTGGAAACATGAAGTCTTAAGTTCAGATCCCCAGAGCCCGTGTAAAGCTAGACACAGCCACACCCATCTGTAGCCTAAGTGTTTCTACACAGAGACCCGGTGGGGGTGGAGGACAGGCTGGCTCAGCTTGCTGGCATGTGGAGCAGGGAACAGACATCCTGTCTCAAGGTGGAAGGCAAGTGTAGTGAGTTTTCATTTGTATTTTAATAAATAAAGCTTGCCTGAAGATCATAGAGCTAAACAGCCCCACTGGTCGGCCTTACAGACCAGGCAACAAAGGCACACACCTTTAACCCCAGGAGCCACACTAGCTTGCTGTAGAAACCAGATAGTAATGGTGCATGCCTTTAATCCCAGCACTATAGAGGAATATAGAGTAAACAGTTCTCAGACGCAGCCTCATTCTGAGATTCCCGGAGGCAGGATCGCCATTTCAGACTGAGGTAGAGGTAAGAGCCAGTGGCTGGCTGCTTTGCTTTACTGACCCCTCAGGTTAAACCCCAACATCTGTCTCTGTGTTTTTATTGATCATGCTACAGGCAAGGACTGACATGGAAGGTTGTCCTGTGATTCCTACACATTGGGTCACAAACACGGGCTCATATCCGCACATACGTGCACACGCGTGCACATACACCTTATAGAACATACTCTTCTCACGCCTGCTGTGTCATGTCCTAATGTCCACCATAAATGAGGGGAAGTGAGAACAGAATGGCCGTGCCGTCTCCAGTAACTACTACCCCCTCTGTTTGCCCTCTCACCCCTTGCATTCTTCTCTCCCCACCCCCATCAGATCACAGAATTGCAGGGGCTTCCCCTGAGCCCCAACAGAGCAAGAAAAGGCACTGCCCGAAGAGAGGCATCTGATGAAAACTCACCCCGTTGTTTTGCCAGGAAACCTTAGCCACACATCTTTGTGCACTACACCTTCATGTGAAGCCACTCAGTCTATACAAAAGGGGCTTTGTATATCCACTGCTGAAGGCCAATGCAGAATTCTAGAACTGTGTTCTGCCATGCTTTTTTTTTGTAGTAAGTGTCCTGTATCTTTTTTAAAAAAAAAAGATTTTATGTATTTATTATGTATACAACATTCTGCCTCCATGTATGCCTGAATGCCAGAAGAGGGTGCCAGATCTCATTACAGATGGTTGTGAGCCACCATGTGGTTGCTGGGAATTGAACTCAGGACCTCTGGAAGAGCAGCCAGGGCTCTTAACCACTGAGCCATCTCTCCAGCCCCCAAGTGTCCTGTATCTTACATCATTAAACTGTTAAATAGTTTAACAAAAAATATTTATTTTATAAGAATAAAATATTAAAACGCCATGTCCAGCTAAAGCATTTTTCCCTCCACCTCTATGGTAAGAATTCTGTCTTTTTTAAAGTTAGCCCCCGAAAGCGGCAGTTCTCCTTCCAGCATTCCACACGTGCTTGGATTTCGTTGACTCCCCTCATGTCACACTCTTCTCCTAGCTCCCTGCTTCCTACTCTCCCTTAATGATGCGGACCTCAGCCTCCCAGACCTGCAGACACAGCCAACAGCTCATACAGCACCAGCGGCCATCATTAATCCAACATCACCCCTCCGCTTCCCTGTTGGCTTATGAGCAATTGACCACTAACACTACTGAGGTCACTAAAAATTACAAAAATCTAAGGACACGATCCTTGAGAATACTCTAGAGTTTCCAAGGATCTTTTGCCATAATTAGTGTCCGAAACACACTCTTAATCTGGGGGAACAATTTAAACACTGGGTTTCACCCACATGCCATATTAGCCCTCTGGCAATGGCGGCTCTGCTCAGGTAATAAGTGGTTCTGGTTGTTGTTTTATCAATATACACACAGTCACCAAAACCAGCACGAGCCAACGAGGCATGCTGGCTGTCCTCACACCGTGTCTCTCTTCTGAACCCAAAGAGCTGCGCATGAAGCTCACATCGAAGTGAAAATTTGAGAATCAATTTAGGAGAAATGCATTCTGAGAGTACAAAGCAGACGGAACTATAGAGAGATTGGCATTCCGCTCATTCGCCCGTGCCCTCCGCTCATCACTCAGCTACATACGCACTGCACTGCACTGCTAGAAGTTCTCAGCAGGTAAACAAATGCCCCTTATTCTGTCTCTACCAGGAACATTGCCTGTAATTTCAATTTATGTGACATATAGCCGCATATTCTTCAAGCACTTGGATGTACCAGAGTTACCTAACCTTTTCCTTACATTTGGATGTTTAAGTTATGTTGAGTTTTAAAAACCAACCCCCAAATGTTAGGTTTTATTTTTAGATATTACTGGTTTCTCATTTAAAAACCACCTGGCCTGACTAAGGTATGGTGGCACACACCTTTAATCCCACCACTTGGGAGGCAGAAGCACACAGAGCTCTGTGAGTTTGAGGCCAGCCTGGTCTACATAGTAAGTTCGAAGATAGCCAGAGCTACACCGTGAGACCCTGCCTCAAAATTAACTAATTAATTAACTAATTAAAAATAAATAAATAGGGCCGGGCGGTGGTGGCACACGCCTGTAATCCCAGCACTCGGGAGGCAGAGGCAGGCGGATCTCTGTGAGTTCGAGCTGGCCTGGTCTACAAGAGCTAGTTCCAGGACAGGCTCCAAAACCACAGAGAAACCCTGTCTCGAAAAATAAATAAATAAATAAATAGAAAGAAAGAAAGAAAGAAAGAAAGAAAGAAAGAAAGAAAGAAAGAAAGAAAGAAAGAAAGCTGACCTATTAAGGTCCTCTACTTTTGGCCACTAATCTTAACAGTCCCCTGTTCTGAACCCTCCTAGACTCAACAAGTCACACATTCTCCACTCCATTTAAACCCAGACCTCCAGGAGCCCCTCTAGGGAGCTGGCTCTCACCTCCTCCCTCCCCATCTATCACCATCCTGCATATCAGTGTGAGGGCCACAGGAGCAGAGTGCAGCTGTCACCACCCACAGGGCTGGCGCCCAGCTCACTGGCACAGAACTCCCTCTTAGCGTTGTCATCGACTCTCGTGGCGGTACCGTCACCCTCTTCCCATGCCTCTGAACCACCATTCTGAGCCACTCTACCCAATCAGCACTCTGCAGGCACAGCTCACATGGAAAGGGACAGAGATGGCAAGTCCCTTCCTTTACAAGAATCATCAGTTAGTACTCTACTTTCCCCAAGCCAGAGATGGCATGGAAGCCTTCAGGCTGGCTTGTTTGGTTCACATAGAATTTTTTTAAAGAGGAAAACAAATGGATATAGCCATTGAAATTTTGAATGACGTAACAGATCTAGTTCTCTCACTTCTTTAAAAATAAATCTAAGGGTTAGGGGGATTGCAAGTTGGTAACACGCTTGCACGTGGGTCTGACTTCAGATCCCTAGCACCCACATAAAGACAAGCTTTATGGCACACATCTTTGGTCCCAGCACTGGTCAGACAGACAGGCTCCCCAACGCTCATCAGCCATCCAGCCTAGCAGAACTGATGAACTCTGGGTTCTGTGAGGGATCCAGTTTCAAAACTAAAGTGGACAGTAACTGAGAAAGACAACTCATGTTAGCATGTGACCTCTACGTGCACAAACATACATACATACACACACATGTTTGCCACATACACAAACAAGGGAGAACTGGAAGCTGAGCATGCACTTCAGTGGTAAAACATACATTCGGTACCTGTACGGCTCCGGGTTTCATCCCCAAACCCAGGGGACATGAGGAGAGCTCTGGTAACCAGGAGCCTGCATTTCAGGGGCAGCGTGATGCTCTGGGACTGTTGGGGGCCAGGCATGCCTGTCCAACCCATAAGAGTCCTGAAGGCTCATGTGAGGGTGACCTGTGGAGATCTCACATGTATACCATTTCCAGAAGGAAGGAAGGAAGTGGGTTTTAGGGACAAAAGAGCAGTTCTATGAGACCTGTCACACGCACAGGAAGTTGGTGCAACTGACTCAAGGACATTTCTATGGCTGTACAGAGTTTCACTGCTTTCCCTCCTTCAAATAGTCTGAAGGCCAGCGACAGCTGCAGACTGAATGAGAAATGACAGGACCATCTCAAGCTTGGGCCCCACCCACCTCGCTGACAGGAGGGAGCTGATGCTGGCACCATGGTCCCCCAGAACACTGGCGGCATCCCGTAGTGACTGCAGGGATTTACAATGCCCCTTCTGATGAGGTTAGGAATGCAGCCTGTTCTCGCCCTGATTTCTCTGTGCCTTGACAGGCATCAGGACTGAAAACACATGGCGGAGAAGGGGCTTATTTCATCTTACATGTCCAAGTCACAGTCCATCACTGGGGCAAAACAAGGCAGGAACCCAATCAAGAATCTGGAGGCAGAAGCTGAAGTGCAGACACAGAGGAATGTTTCCTCCTGGCTTGCTCCTCATGCTTCTTCAGCCTGCTTTCTTACCCAATCACGGACCACAGCGAGCTGAACCCTCCCACATCAATTGTTAATCAAGAAGCTACCCATAGACATGCCTACAGGCCTGACAAACTAAATTCCTTCGTTAAATTTCTATTTTCTCAAGTGGCTTTAGTTTGTGTCAAGTTCAGAAAAACTGACTGACTCACAACCCTTACCTCTGCCAGATACTGTGACTGAGAGGTCCTGATGGAGGCAAGACCTCGCAAAGCCAAGCTCACTGCTCCCCACTTCTTGAGGCTTCCCTTGGGAAACTTCATCCCACAGCCAAAACGCCAGGATGATGACCCAAGCACCTACAATTCCACTGTATAGACAGCCCCAGAAAAATAAGCTTACTTGTGTTAAATGGCTAACCAATTAGTTTTGTCCAGCCAAAGGCCCCTGGGAAGAGGAGAACCTGTTGATGAACTGTCTGGTGGCATCAGGCACATAGGAGGACGTGCACCTGAGGAAGAAAGGTCTAACAGGCTCCGAAAAATGACTTCACGTTCCAAGTCTCAAGCTACCCAATGGCACACGGGCTGCACGCTGGAAGGTGTGAATCCCACAGAGGCAGTTGTCAAAGGTGGTTGGTTTCCTCTGGACTTGACCAACCCAGGTCAGGAAAAGTGCCCAAGCTCCTCATCCCACTGCTTTATTTGAGAAGACACTTGGCATCAGTGAGTGGCCTGGAAGTGCTTTGATAGCAATCATTAACATTATCACCATCATCACCATCTAGGCCCCGGCCATACTGGAGCACGCATGGGCAGCCTGTTTGTGGTGGTTCACCAGTTCTCCTGGGCTCAGTAGTGGTAGTGCAAGTATTTACTCAGCATCCAGCTCTGTCCTCCTTGTCTACAGAATCCCAGCTGTGTTCAGGAGACAACATAACAAGCTTGGGAAACTCCTATCTTCCCAGTTTGCCGATCCAGGCTATGGCTCCCAGAAAGGGAAATAGAAAGGGCACACTCCTGCTAGAGACAGCCCCTTTCAGCCTCACCTTTCTTTTCTCATCATTTTTAAGGGTGGTGACCTGAGCCCCACAAGTACACCAATCCTCCCTTCTTGCCACATTAAGAACCATGAAGGTAAAGGGGTAAACAAGTAAGAACCAGGGAAAGGAAGAACCCAGATGTTAGGAGCATTCGTGAACCTGATAGGACCCTGCCCTCAAAGGAGGATGCCGCAAGCCTGGTCATTAGCGCATCAAGATCACTTTAGGTTAACTGGTTCTGCCTATAGTCACAGCCATAGAACCAAGAACTCCCAGATTCCACTCCCAAGGGCATAAAACCACAAGCCCACCTTTCTGACCTGACATTGGAGAGTCACTGAAGTGTTTACTATAGGAGGAGAAAGGAACCTTTAAGTCTGACTGTTGGTAGAGGCAGAGACAGTAACATGTTATGACTGAAGATAACCCTGGGCTCTTAGCATCCACACGGGAGGGGGGGGGGAAATGGAAGCAAAAGGCTGGACTTGGAAAACATAGACGGGACCTTAGATGTCTTAATGCTTTGTTTAGTAGGAGGGGCAAAGCCAAGGGTTCTGAATAGAAGACTGCTTTGTTTCTTTTGTGTTTTGTACCAGAACCAGAATTGTTTCTAATGGGGAGGGATGTGTCTCATCCCGGGAGATGATTCTTCTTGACCGTCTTGTGTTTCTGGATTTCTGTGAAAAGACAGAAATGCTTTTGTTTGAAGTTCTTTTCAAGGCCAATTAGACAGCAAGCAGCCTTGAATAAGAGATCCAGCCTCTCCCTGGGACCAAGAGCCATTCTTTTTGTTGTTGTTTTGCTTTTTTTTTTTTTAATGTAGAGGCAAATAACATAGTCTCCCCTGGGCAAAACTGGGCCTGATTGTTTGTAGACTCTTTCATAGTACTAGGCTTCCTAGGCTCACGGTGCTCAGCTGTGTGTCTACAACACCCACCTGGACCACTGTTCCCAGTGGGCCTCGGGGGAAAGGATTCCAAAAACACCAAACACATCTCCCGTGGCGCCAGGGCGTTCTAGCCCAGGAATCGCGTGCCTTCTCTCACCATCTGAGAGTGAGGTCTGCTGACTTCTGACTTGCAGGCTGGCAGCAGGGTAGGATCCCAGCTGCTTCTCAATCCTCGATGCTTACCACAGTCAGGGCCTGGCAAGGGCACACTGCAGAGAAGACTGG